TAAACTCATCGTCGAAGTGCTGCCAAAAGCACTCAGACGAACTAGACATAGCCCTCATCCTAATCTTATTATGTAACCAAAACAGTAAATGCTTGAACAAATTGGCAGTGGACTTCCATTTTCTTCCAATAAAACAACCAAATTCATACAAACAGAGAAACCCTAGAAATCAGAATGGTAAGAACAAATGAAAATGATGTCAAATACTGTATCAAATCTGGAATTCAAGAGGCCAAATGGAATGGAGAGATTACAACGAAGAAAAGGGCAAATCGAATTTGGAACACTGTTGGATTAAAGGGTTAAGAAAAGGAGGAAGAACAGTTCACCTTCTTGCAGGAAGCGTTGAACAGCAAGGCCCAATGGCTGCCATTGTATGAGATAGCGACGATGAATTAATCACTTGCTTCAGCCTTCTCTGTCTCTCTCGATTCTCATTTAATCGCTTCTTTCTGCTTCTCATAATTTTGGATCAATAGCTTAGATTCCGGTTGCTTGCGATTTTCTGCGCTGCAATGGGTTTTTGACACGTGTCAATGAGCTGGACGGATAGTATCCGAATCTCTAGGGCTTGATGCCATGTGGGATTCTTGGACACGTGGGATTATTATTTCAAATTATTAAAATAATTTTAATTTCATGAGTTTATTTAACGATGATAATAATAAATTTAAATAAACTTTTAATTATAAATAATTAAACTAAAAATTTAACTATACGTATTATAATTCATAAATCAAATATTATGTATGATAAAATAAATTGTTTTAAATGAGATAATATTATAAATCTTATGTAATTATAATAAATTATTAATAAAACAAAAAAAAATAACTTATAACTTATATAACAGGTATAAAATAATTATAACCATAGAATATTTTATTATTTTTAATTAATTATTGTTTTTTATTATTAATTATAAATCTAATTTAAAATTTAAAATTATGATATATATTATTTATGAATGAGCTAGACAATATTATTCCCAATAAATAATTAGTTATAATTATTGAAGACCAATTTTTTACTAATGCTTAGCTAATTAATTACACTTAAGATATTTAGCTAACTAATTAGTAATTTTAGTAAACCTTTTGGAATCACCATAAGATCGCTATTAAATGTATGTCATAACTACTATATGCAAAACTTCGTCAAAACAATTTGTTTTAAATCATATCATAATACAATAAATAACAGGTAGATAAGCTACATGTTATTATTTCTCTTTTTCATTATTTCTTTGTTCTTCATATTCTCCAAATCAGTGTGGGCTAGGGAAAGTAAGATATCGAGATAGAGAAATAAGATGTTGAGTTGGAATGATGAAAATTGTGGATTCGAAAGATTATTTACAGGAAAAACGAGAACAAAAACGGGAGAAAATGGAAAACTTTTTTTTTTTTTTTTTGTTACAACACATCTAAAGGAAACTTTTGTACCCCGAACTATCTTATACTTGGAATAACTCGTAGTACTTATCCATCATCTTGTCCTCTTGTTCTGATGTATTCCACTTTTTCTCCACTAATTAAGATCATTTTATATGAAACCCTTTAAGTTTTTCTATAGCTCACCACGAATCATTACATCATATTTTTGTCTAACATTATTTTGGTTAAGGGTTAATACGACACTTTGAAACATAAATACACAATTAAAACCTACTCTAAAATTTAGAGGCATACTTGAAATCTACCCCTACACATTAATTTTACTAATCACTATCACGTAAGTGATATTCACTTTGTTTCCAATCAAATTAAATGGGACAAATTACCAACCCTAGAGTAAATCATTTATGCATGAACCTGCAGCTATTCGAGTTATGAGATACATCGAAAACAGTCTATTTCTAAATTTTGCATCTTTCTAGGAACTTCAATAATTTTTTGGAAGTCCAAAATGCAAACTAATGTGTCCAGTTCATCTAGGTCTAGTAAATTCAACTACCCTTAGAAGATCAAAGCAAAGCATTTTGTATCGTTTAACAACAAACAAACCAAAAAAAAAAAAAACACATGAAAATTGAAAATCCATCCAGAGGAGAGAAATCTCCATTGAAAAGGTAATTTTTTTTATATTTTGAATGAGTACATTTATGAACAAATAGCTGAAGAAAATGGATTGATAGAAAAAACAAGGTAAGAAAATCTCCAGGAGGGCTCAACAAAAATTATAGATTGAGCACTTACCATGTTGTCTTTCTCCATCTGCTATATCTTCTTCCAGCTCATGCCAAAACATCTAAACAAACCACATATGAACACAAGCTATTTCAAAAACCCTTTCCTATGAATGTCTCCCCAAAATAAGGGTCAAAATGGTTGAAAGATCACAACCCAAAGACATGTATGCAGGCCAAGTTAAGTCAAAGTACAAAAACGAATCGGATAATTGTTCATAACGAATGACAGTTCCAAGCAAATGATAGGCAGCAAAACTTTCATATCAACAAATTTTCTGTCGATAGAAAAACTCAACTCGTTTCGGGAACCTGCAAACACGATAGCACGCACTCTTTCGTCCTTTTTTTTTTTTTTCTTTGGTTTTTGTGTTCTCTACAGCAAGGAGAAATAATGAGACAATTTGAGAGCAATCATCAACTACTGAAAAACTTATAAGTAAAATTGAGATTTCAAGAAAACTTATTATGTAGCAAGTACTGTAAAATTCCATTAAAAAGAATTAATATGAAGATAGGGACGAGTAAATCGAAAACAGCCACCTCGTATCTTCTTGTTCCGATTCAGAAGAATGAGAACCTCATGCCATTGCTTGCTGCAAACAAGTTGTATTCTTCAATGGCAGTTTCCTTCTTATTGAAACCATGACCATTTCCAACAACTTCCACCTCATTATTGTCTTCCTTGGAGGGCATGGGATTTAATTTACCTCCCGTTGAAAGTGCAACAGGCCCTCCAAAATGAAATAATGAAAAGCTTGAGCTATCCTTTTGCAGTTTGGAAGAAGTATCGTTTTGCTTACAATCTCCGCTTGGTGGTGAACTGAGTGCATAAGGGAGTCCAGTGGTAACGACGACGTCTGGATTAGCTACAGAACTTTCTGTTATTGCACCTGATTTAGAGACCTGAGTTCTGTCTTCAACAAAGATACCATTGCTAGCTTTGGCAGCTGGCTGATAAATAGGAACGGGACTCGGGTTGAAGACGGGATTAGCAAGATGATGCAAATGGCCATATCGCATGCAGAAGCGTGGGTTACCATTTAAACCATACCCAAGAGGATTGGCATATAGACAGTGATTTGAATAGGAGAAAGGCATTATTCCATTAGCATGGACAGCTGCTGGCCATGAAACTGAGTTTTGGTGGTAATAGCCCATTGATGGAGGAACCTGAAACACTGGAAAGTGAACATTTTGGTTTTGAACCGAAGGAAGTGTCACATGACATGGGGAATCCAGATTAACAGCAGAGAATCCCGCTTCGAAGTTCTGAGGAACATTTTTCGGTGCATTTCCCTGAACTTTACATCCCTCGTTATCTTGCGAAAGACCGGAACTGTTCGTGCTCCCCAGGGCATCACCTCCAATTGCTTTATCCATCCTTATCTCATGATGCTCAGAAAAGCCATACTGAATGGATGCTGAAGATTCCTTTCCTTCTGATTGATGGCTAGCATATTCTGAGTCTGATGTGGACGACGATTCTAAATTTCCATGGTTCGAGCAAATAGTATTACTGTCTCCTTCGCTCGGGCATGATGAGCAGTTATCCGAATTTAGAGAGCTAGTTCCTGCTTGGTTACTGGTCCCACTGGATGTCATTTTCATGTCTACTGTCAAATTTACAGAACACGGTGTTACCTCCTCACATGCGTCGTCTTCAACGTTTTTATGATCCTTCGATTCAATAGGAAGTCCATTTTGGAAGACTTCATCTGATTCAATAACAGAAGTTGATTCAGTTGAATTACTCTCCTCTTGATCAACGGTGCCAGAAGCTACGCTAACTTCACCACTGCAGCATTCATGCCTCGACTTCACAAGTTCATAATCAGGTTCCACACCGAACTTGAAAGTTGAAGACTTCAATGCAACATTTGAGTCTGAGTTACTTCTAGGATATTTCTTCTGTGATTCCATGGGCTCCCAAACTTTCTTTGAATAAACAAAATCTTTACCAGGAGAATTGTTTAACAAAGCAGCTTTGTTTTTCAGTCTTCCGCTATCACGAGAATAATCTCCATAGCTGAACTTGTTAGGACGATAACTTTGCTTGGACATATCAAATAAAGATTCTGACTTGCTTGCAGATTTGGCATCTCGGTTAACTCTAACCGAAGAAACAAATGGCTCTGCCTTTTTGTTAAATTCATTATTTTGGTTACAGACACAGGAACGGTAGTCGTACGATACCCAGTTGTTGGAAGAGTGCATCTTTTCATTAAACTTAGAGACATGTCGACCATAGGCCTTTAATGAATTTGTTCTTAATTTCCTGTTTGATGCATTCATACTCCTGGAAGGATTTTCCAAACTATCGGCATAATATCTTTGCTCAGATCTGTTAGCAAGCGCTCCATTTTCTGAAACCATAGATCGGCGCCTCTCAGACCACTTGAAAGAATGATCTTGAACTTCCTTTGGAAATTTTAATCTCCAGCGAGAAACTTTAGACTGATCACCTATGAAAGACTCATTTCCATCATTTCCATCATTTCCATCATTTCCATCATTTCCATCGCCAAGTTTCCCATCAAAGCTATCATCATATGAATTTTGCCCTTCTGAAATGATAGATTGATTTAAAAACAGCTCATTGAAAGTATCAGAAGATTCAGGCACGCTGGCGTCACATACTTCACCGACTGCATCGGAATTTGGCTCCAAATCACATGGGGACAAGTCCTCCAAGACATCAGAATGAGCACATGCTTCAGCTGATTCAGAACTTATCTTATCTTTATCCTTTTCCTTTCCTTTTAATCTTTCTTTTCTCCGGAGTTTCTTCTCTCTTTCTTTTGTCCTTTTCCGCTCTTTGCGTTCTTTTTCTTCACGCTTTTCCTTCTCTTCTTCTTCAAGAAGTTTCACCTGCAGAAAAATTCACAAAGGTTAGCAGTCGAGAGATCTTAAATTTTGTAAATAAGCTTCTATGAGTAATGATATAGCTCGCATGAACCTGCTTTTCCAGAGTAATGATTTCTTTGCATGCTATGTGAACTCGTTCTTCCAGTAATTTTAGTGCAAGACACACAAAGATGCTATGCGCATTTTGGCGTGCTGTTCCTTCTCTGAAGGCTTTTTCAACCTGGAAAAGACCACAAGTTATAAGAATATAATCAATCTATAATACCTGGGAAAAACTTAGATCGGTTCCAGTATCGAATTTCCAGTCAAAGAAGCAAGAAGAAGAGATCAATAAAAAATTCAATTGATTATCTGGAAAGTGGGATAAAAGAAAGACACTACGACTTTGAACTTTCAATCAGATTTTAATAAGCAGATGAGAGCTAATTCAACGAAAAAACATTCAAGAGAAATTTCTTTGAAACAAGAGAAGTATCAATCCTGAAGGAAAAGATAGGATAACATGGACTTGTTTTATGCCGAGCAACAATTGGATATAAATTTTCTACTGAAAACAATGAAATTGTAATCTGATATAAACAAATTTAAGTTGAACATCACTCAAACTTTCATCAAGAGTGGAGGATATACAGAAAAAGGAAGATGAGACATCCCACAAGCGAAGGTGATCAGTAGATTTAGATGAACGATGAAAACTGCATTAACAACCCAGCATCCATCTTGAACAAAAGAAAATTCTTTCCACTTTTTTTTTTTTTTTCTAACAAGAAACATCTTCTCATTGATATAATAAAAAGGAAAATGTTCAAGGGAACAACCAAGAAAAGAAAATAGAACCAGAAAACAGACAAGATCTTAAAACAATTACAAACAAAAGAGAACGACCAAAAAATAAAAATGAACCATCAAACAAAAGCTCAGTTCCAAAGAATATTCAAACAGCAACCACAACAGCTAAAGATAAGAATCAATAAGATCCAAAAACATGAAAATACTGACTAAAAATTCTCCTCCAAAAAGATCTAACACGCCAACTAAGAAACTCCAGAACATAATCTCCAAAACTTCGAACTTCCAAAAGAGAATGTAAAGATGAAAAAAACATTCCCCGGAACCTTGATACAAAAACTAGTCCTTATGAAGTTGAAGAAGGAAGTTCCTGTAATTCAAGACCACAAACTTCAATAAGACATGCAAATTTTCTAGGCACCGATGAAGGGCAAGGGAGAATCTCCATATCATTTCCAAAAAATAGAAACTCAAAAGCATTGAAAAGGGAGTCTTCAATCTCCATATCATCCAAGTGATTAACCATTGGCTGCCCAAGAGATTTCACACTGCTTAGGTAACTTTAGATTCAACATCGAAGTCACCACACCGAGAGGGAGAAAGATGAACTATAAGGACTTTTTCAAGGGAATCATCTCATGAATAAAAAAATATACCCATTAAGCGGAGAAAACTTTAAGGCTACTTGGAGGGATTACAGGGTTTGATGGAGCTAATATTGATAAGTTCCAACTATCCCTAGTCTTACGAAGGAGACAAAGAGACATGACCAATTTTTTTCAATTAAATCAAGATCCACAGTATATCTCAATGGGTGATTGAGAATAAATGATAGGTTCACTTCACCGAGTATAGTACAAGGGGTATGCAATAATATAACAATTTTTAACCTCTTTCACAATCAAGGGCATTGAGGACTCGAGAACTTTAATGGAGATCTCCAAAAGGGACACAAGAATCTCAGAAGGCAATGCAAAGGAATAAAGGTCGTTAAAATAGTAGGGAGCACACAAAAATTCCCAAGAACTTGTTGAATTAAAACAAATGGTTGATGCTCATGCAGAGTAGACCCATTAAAAACACTCATCCCTGTTTCAGTGACTATGATCTCTCTATTCTCTAGAACTAAAGTTGGTGGATGATTAATTACATCATCATTTGCGTTAGAAGTTCCTTCACCTTCAATGACTTGATGTAAAAGATGTAAGCCCAGAGAATTGGAGAGGTCTTTCAAGGAGAGAACTCTCTATTAATGATATTTGGAGATCTAAAGGAGTGAGATCACTAAATCTAATAAAAATATTCCCTCCTTTCTTATCCTATGATTTCTATCATAGCGGGAAGAAAACCACACAAATTCCTCTTAACTTCTATAAGAGCCCCATGCAATCTAACATATTAAGATTAGGGGAAGAAATACTCTCAAGACCACCAAAGTAATGGCCATTAGTTTCAAATGTGCTAACGTTCAACAAAATTCAGATGACTGCTTTTCACGACACCATCTTTCAATAAACAAATGCAAATCAACGTAGAATCTCCATTTACCTTCATAATCAAAAGCCTAGAATAAGATTTCACAATTAAAATATAGTTATGTCAGGTTTACCAGGAAAGAATTAATTGAAACAATGCCTTTAAAATGATAGTCCTAAGGCGTATTTAATCTCCTTCCTAATGTTGTGAGAAAACAACCTAGAAACAACTATTAGCTCGCTAAAATTCAATTCATCACTTTTTGGTCCTTTTTAACCAATTGAGAATAAGAAAAGGCAACTCTTCAACAATACTTCAAATAATCTTTTGAGATCTCATTTACTTGAAATCCAATCCCCTGCTTTCCATTCAAGTTCTTTGCCTCTTCCCACACATTGCAACTGAAAGAAGAAAAATTTTTCTGCAAAGAAATTTTAGCTAAATCCTTTAAAAACGAAAGTTGCCATCATAATTCTTGAGTAAGTCTTTTAGCATTTCCTAAACAAAATACCGAGCATTTATTAAGAAACTCATAGATACTTGAATCAGCTTTCTTCCTCCAAAAGGTAGCCAAACAATGCAATGGATGAACCAAAAAATATTCATTTTGATAAATGAATTTGTAATATTCCAAGAAGAATATATATATTAAAATAATAGAAAATTGTGCTTGGGTGTATTATGACCATATGGTGAAGCCAGTGGATGGATAATCGGTCATACAAGCATATTTTCTTCAATTTCCTCTCATTTTTAGCATATGGTTGGTTATAGGCAATACTCTCAATCACAAAATAAAATCTTACAATAGAAATCATTTGGAATTTTCATCGATACAAACAAAAGCTCCTCAATGACATTGAGGAGCTAGATTCCCTCGAGGAAGCCATAAATCCTATCCAGGATGGTTTTGAGATTAAAGATTTGTTAAAACTTTACCTCCATGACCTTACTTTAAAATAGAGAGCAACTGAATTGTCCCCATGGCAATTACTCATTTCCTAATTCTTGTTGACGAATAAAGGGATAATTTGTAATGATGCAATTGCTCTATGTTTTGCTTATGGACTAACCTAATAACATTCAGCTCAATCGTTTAAAGCTAGTTTATATATTTTCAGAAGATGGTCATTGCTAATTGTAGTATCAATATCAATTGATGCAGGATTTTTTTATTTTTTCTTGATGAGATGCCAAACAGAGATATGAACAAATGTACCGAGCATAAAAATAAAAATAAAACCAACAAGAGGAACTCAAAGAACTATAATAAAGGGCCCCAATCCTATGGAATAAAACCTTTTTCCTAATCAATGATTACAAAAGATCTTGCCACCGAGGCCCAAATAAGGTATTAAACCTAATGACCTCCCACACCTCCTATACAAAACTCTGATTCCCTCTAAAGCTTTTATTATTTCTCTCGAGCCAAATCCCATAAGACAACTGCAAAGAAGCAAGCCTGCCATAGAAAATTCCTCACTCCCTAAAAGGATGAAAAGGCAAAACCTCCTCCATCATAGCCCTACAATCCTTGCTCCATGCCAAACAAACTCCAAAACCCCACAAAGAAGGGCCTAAATTGAAAGGACAAACAGGATCTCCAAATAATATGGTTAGATTTTCCACTGGAGCAGCATCCAAGGAATTTTTATTCACTTCAGTTTCTAAGACTCTCTTGAAAGGAATCTTGTCATGACAATGATGTTCCTAATTTTTCTTTCTTATTCACTATTCACTCCAATTATCTTTCTTTCACGTTTTTAAATGTTAAATAAAGAAAAATGTTAAAGTAAAACTAAGTCCAACTTTGATGGTTGTAGTAAAACTAAGTCCAGCTTTGATGGTTGTAGTAAAACTAAGTCCAACTTTGATGGTTGTCTATTTAGTTCCTAAATTTCAAAAAGTTTCACTGATCTCTAGACATACATATATATATATATATATATATATATATTATTTATTTATTTTATTCAAATAAGTCAATGTTCCAAATATTTTTACCTAACTGTTGATGTCTCATGTTTTTTGAACTAACAAGTGATAGTTTAACTAGTTAAAATATGTCGAAGAATCTAAAAGCATGTTTTAACTAGGATATCTCTTTTAATGTACAATTTGGGACAAGGTTTTTGGAGTTTAATTGGCTTGTAATAGGATGTGTTGGTCGCGAGAGGGGGATTTTAATGATATGGTGAGGTCTTGGACAAAGAGGAACATGTTCATGTGAAGAGACATCAAACTTCTTCGGTAAGTTCAAGAGAAAACATATTGCAAACAAATTCCAACCAAAGTAACTTTTAAATCAAGCTTCACTACCTTACTTGACTTGTTTTATTCTAACATCCTTATTTTTCTTATATTACAATGTATTTATTTATTATACTAAACGACCATTTGACACATGCCTAACAAGTGTCAGAGTCCTTTGGGGCATGATCCTAGGAGCTTTACACTCTAGACCTAGGCATTGGTAAGGTTCGAAATAGGCTTTCATCCTAGAGAAAGAGCTTTTTTACGAAGGGTGGAGGCCTTACCCTTTTACAATCGGTTCTGAGTGACATTCCTATTCATCTATTGCCCCTGGTTAAAATCCCTAGTGTGATTAGTAAGACCATTGAGAAATTGATGAGGGATTTCCTCTAAGAGAATGTTGGGGAGGGAAGATGATCTCATCTTGTGAGGTGGAAAGACGCCACTGGACCTAGGTGGCTTAGGTTTGAGAAATCTAAGGGCAAGGGATAAAGTCCTTTGGGCTAAATGGTTTCGACGATTCCATCATGATTCTGACATCCTATGGCACATGGTTATTGTTAGCAAGCACGGTCCTCGTCCTTTTGAATAGACAGATAGTGGGGCTAAAAGCAAACCAGAAACCAGTGGGAAGATTTTTCAGCTAAACTTAATTTCTTTTCTGATTTTGTCATTATGTGGTGAATGATGGGAAAGATACATTTGATTGATTGGTTGTTGGACCCATCTGCATCTTACATCACTGGTTATATAAGCTGTAAGTATCATTTGGTTGGTTTGATTATTTCTCATTCTAAGAACCTGCCTTCTCCTTCTCTAGGTTTTTGTAGGGAAATGTCGAACATTATTTTTGTTGGGGGACTTCTAATCCTGATAAGAGGGATGGTCGCTTTTGAAGTCTCAAACTGTCCAAAGGCTTTCTTCTGTAATTCTCTCTTTGTGTTTGGTCCGTCCCCCTTTCTTGTCAAGCATTTTCATTTTTTTCTAGGTGGAAGGTCAAGTGTTTCAAGAAAGTCAAGTTCTTTGTTTGGTACGTTTTACATGGAAGAGTTCACACCTTGGGTCGGATATTGGCTAGAGGGTCCATGGTGGTTAGCCCGTTCAGTTGTATTATGTGCAAGATATTTCAGTAACTACAGCACATATCCATGTATAAATCTTACAAATCAAATAAAAGAAAACAAATATTTCAAGACATTCAAATGCGTAAAAAGAGTTGTGGATTCCTAACTCTCGAAATCTCATCCTCATCAGAAATCTGAAAGATGAAGAGATTGATAGCCTTTCATCCTCAAAACAGAAAAGATGGATGGAATGGGCTTTGGACAATAGCTTCACAGTGCATTCCTTATATGCTTCTTTGCTAGATAAAGGTTCATCTCCCCTCTAATTGGCAATCTGGGAAAGCTTCTGTCAAAAAAAGGTCAAATTCTTACAATGCTAGCTGCTAACTAACGAGGAGATAACATTCGTAATTTGATTGAAAGGAAGGCTCCTTACTATTCTCTCTCTCTCTCTCTCTCTCTCTCTCTCTCTCCCAGCTGGTGCCATATTTGCCAGATTATGAGTCTCAAGCCCACGTATTCATCCACTATTCCACTGTCCATAGCTTCTGGACCTTTTTGCACATCAATTTCAAATGGGCCATGGCCTTGCCTTCATCCATCTATAGCCTCTTATCAGGTGTCCTACTATGGCACCCCTGCCAGAACGAGCAACAAACCCTTTGGCTGTGCCAGGTGAAAGACTTCTTTTCAAACCTGAGGCTAGAAAGAAATAGTAAACTTTTTGAAGGGACTGAAGCTTCTTTTTATTCCTTAATGGATAATGTCCTAAGGGCTATATCTTGGTGTGAGCGTTCTCTCTTCTTTTTCTTACTATAGGTGATACTACGCTTCTGGCCAAGTGGAACTCCTTTTTGTCAATCAATTTTGGGATCTTGAATGTTTCACCCTTCCTACTTCGTATATTTCATATTATAAATGAAATACATATTTCTTCTCAAAAAAAGAAAAAAAAAATAGAAAAATAGAAAAGGCTACCTAACAAAACTGAAAGTATAGATTCTCAAGCATCTGGATTAGATTCCCAACAAACAGACTGACCTATTAGTAAAATGCAGTAATTAGACCGACATTGAAATTAGTTTAATGTTTTGAGAATTTCTCCTCCTATTTTTCTTCTCCCTAATTCTTTCCGATTTTCCCTCTCTTATATTGTCTCATTTCTAGCATCCACTCCTAGCCTAAATGGGTAAAACCGGAACTATTTGGACTGACAGTCATGACTAATTTCTTGAAGTCTTGGGAGAAATTACAGGAGGAAGTTGTAGCCACCTTGGTTGGATATTAGACCTCTTTTCTACATCGTATTAAATAATAACTAAAAATTGGAAGAAAAAAACAAAAGAAAGAAAAATATAGACATATACGAACCAAGAATCGCATGTGAAAATAAAGCCCAGCATTTTCACCTCCATAGATATAGTAATTTTAACTTTTAATTCGTTTTTCCTTGTCCCAATGTGCCTAACTGGTAATTATATCCCTGGTGCTTAATAAAATTTCTTAGAACAAGAGATTTTAACATGTGTTTGTCTTCAAGAAAGAATAATATCACACAGGCCAATTGGCAAGAAAGCACAAGCCAAAAAGGTTGCAGATAACATGCCTGTTCTTTAAAAATGACAGTTGCAGCATCCAAAAGAAACTCCCGAGCAAGTTCAGGACTCTTTGCATGCTTTTGAGGACGAGAACAATCTCCATCCAAACCATTTGCATCTTTATCCATAGAATCATCCTCCTAAAAAGCACATAATTCAGAGAAGCAATTAGAGTTACCAAGATTTAGAAGATGAAAACATTTGACACCCACAAGAATTTCAAGTTCCAGTAATATAATGCTGCCGATATTTTTTTTCATAGCAGAAACAAAAAACCCATTCAGTATTGAAAATATGATTGACGTACAAACGCTTTTGGTAGGAAAAATCCTAGAGACAAAATTACAAGAAAGAGAACAACCTCCTCCTCCTCGGCCTCTTCAGCATGCTCAAAAAACCTCCTAATACTTTCCCCTCTTGTGATTGTAACAAATCCATCACCAACTGTAAGCCTGCGATGAACACATTGTTGACCTTTCAACGCATGAGCTTTCACTGAGAGCTCAGTGCAGCGCCCATCCAATTTCCAAGCTCTGAGTGTAATAAAGCATGAATTCAAACCACCAAGATCTAGGCCATTCATTTTGACACTTCCATTCATGCCAACATTTTCAAACTCCAGAATATCAGATTTTCCTTCTCCTGTTCCAACAGCCCATTCAAAATAATGATATGTCTCCACAGAGTCCGCAAAAGTGTGATGCCAATCGGCCTGGATTGTGTCATCTGATACCTGTGACAATAGCAATTATAAATTCTTTCATGCTGACTGCAAAAAGCTCACAATCTAGAGAAACCTTAAGAATCTACATGGTCGTTATAATTATTAATCATATTAATTGTAAAGTTTACATTATAACCATGATCCTAGAAGAGCACTTAAAGTTGAAGAGAAGTGCAAGGATGCACCTCGTAATTAAATGCCATATCTGCAACACAAAACCAACTAGTGCAGCAAGGCTCTCTTCTTATGCGCTTCAGCTCCTTTAGTTCCTTGAACTCACGGATCACATTTCTTCTGCAATCTCTACAAAACCTCTTGCTGTCAAACCTGTGAGACAATCAACACACTGTAAGAAGAAATTAATAATAATAATAATAATTACAAGGCAAGAAAATGCAGGAGAGAAAATTGGTTAATCATTTATTAGGTCTTTTGCACGAAGACTTGCTGGTGGTTAAGAAACATTTAATGCATTGGTCAGCTTGGTTTGTTTAGCCTCATTTGAGGGTCTCTTCTTGGTGTGCTCTCACCAACCTCTTTTCTGGACATTCTATCCAAGATTCATATCTCATTTGGCATGACTGTATTTTTCCATTGTAATCTTTTTATCTTTTTATTATTCACTCCCTTGTGGAGTTATTTCTTTGTCAAGGCTTACACCTTGAGGCACACTTCAAGATCAGGCTCAAATTTTTAGGCTAAAGTCTCAGGCCTCTTTGGATCAAAAGAGGCTTAAATCTCTGAAAGAAAATATTTATGGTCCCATGTGATGCACCGAACAGGTGTAAAGGCTTTAATGACTAGAAAAATAATATTAGTCTTTTACATTCTTCAAAAATATTAAAGTACAGTTACGTGTTTGTTTTATGCAAACAACTTCCATTGAGAATAAATGGAAGAATACATAGGTATACATTAATCAAGCCCTCAAAAGGACACTCTATCAGAGGAAATGGCTAGTTCCTATCAAATAGTTAAAAAAAGATCTTCGAAATCAAAATCCAAAGAAAAGCATGAAATCTAACAAGGAACCAAATATCACTTACGTATTTCATATCAATAGAATACAAGACGATAATTCAGCCAATTACTACCTCTACCAAGGCTTTTAAAAAACATTAATGACAAAAACAGTATAGAATAAGTTTCGTTCTTTATAGAATTGAGCTTTCATTGAGAATAAATGAAAGGCTACAAAAAGGGCATACAAAAACAACACCCAAAAAATGTAGCCAAGACAACACCTAAAACACCTAAAAACATAACAATATTAAAAAAATAAAAATAACCACAATAATAATAATAATAATATATAAATAAATAAATCCAATCCAAAGTAATAAGACTGAGATGGAAGTAACAAAAGTCTCTCGAGCATACACCTGAAGAGAGGTATTAAACTTGGAAATAATCCACACCTCTTTTCATGATATCTCAGACCCTCTAAACATTCTATCATCCCTCTCTAAAATTAAATTTAAAAATATAATTAAAAAAAAAAAAAAAAGAATTGCCACAATGTTAAGCCCTTATCTTGAGATGGGGATGGAATAAAACCTCTTCCATCATGAAACGATAACCATAGATACATGACACACTCACACCAAACATCTCCAAAAACGCATCCAAATGAGCAAACTTGCGTCACCAAAGGATACAATTAGATCTTCAACCGCTTCCCTACAAGAAGTACCCCACTGCGCTTAAGTAAAAAAGAAAAGTGTCTTTGAATGCGATCTATGGTGTGGATTTGCCCAAATAAAACTTGTCATGCAAGGAACTTAACCTTCTTGGAAATATTTTATCTTCCACGAAGAAAATAAAGAGTTTCTAAGAAAACTTTGGGCACCCAAAAGAAGGAGAAGAGAATGACAAGAAAACCCTTTAGAGGGATTAGACGAAGATGGACCTCTCCTAATAAAGCAAGGAGAGAGGCACATCCAAGGTTTCCCTGTCCAACAAGGGATGTTAGACGCCAAAGTTATGCAAATGCTAATTACTTGAATAAGAAATGACCAGAGCCATAGGACTAAACCTCAAAGAGAAAGCTAGTACAAATGAGAAAACAAGTTATGAATAGAAGTATCACGCTACCATCAAT